ATGTTCAGGAGAGGAGATCAGGGAAAAATGAATAAAAATTCAAGGGAAGAAACAGAAAACAAATAAAATGGCAGATTAAAGCCCTAGCATATCAATAATTACATTAAATGGTCTAAATACACTAATTAAAAGACAGATTGAAAGAGTTGGTTTTTAAAATTCACCTAAATATATGCCATCTACAAAAAATTCACTTCAAAAATAATAGGTAGATTGAAAGTAAAAGAATAGAAGAAGGTGTACCATGGAACATTAACCATAAAAAAGCAGGATTGGCTATGTTCATATCAGATAAAGCAGACTTCAGAGCACAGAAAATTGTTGATACAGAGTGATGTTACATGTCAGTCTGCCAAAAAGACAGCAATTTCTTTTTTCTTTTTTTTTTTGTTTTGAGACAGAGTCTTGTTCTGTCGCCCAGGCTGGAGTGCAGTGGCATGATCTCAGCTCACTGCAAACTCTGTCTCCTGGGTTCACGCCATTCTCCTGACTCAGCCTCCCAAGTAGCTGGGATTACAGGCACTCGCCACCACACCTGGCTAATTTTTTTTTTTTTTTTTTTTTTTTGTATTTTTAGTAGAGACGGGGTTTCACTGTGTTAGCCAGGATGGTCTCAATCTCCTGACCTCGTGATCCACCCGTCTTGGCCTCCCAAAGTGCTGGGATTACAGGCATGAGCCACTGCGCCTAGCCTAAGAGCAGTTTTTAAATCCTAAATGCTTCAGCATTCCAAGAGATTACATCTTATGCAACTGTAGTACAATGTCAGTATCAGGAAGTTGACACTGGCACAACAGGTGTATAGTTCTGTGTTATTTATCACATGTATAGATTGGTGTAACCACCACTACAGTCAAGTCAGCAGAACTATTCAGTCACCACAAAGAGCTTTGTCCTACCCCTTTAATAAAGTCAGCCCAATTCCTTTTACAATCCCTTAACTCATGGTAGTCACTAAGTAGGTAAGCTATCATTTCTTCTAATGCTTTTCAGCCCCGCCCTCTTCTCCCCTCCTGAAACTTGTGTGACACAATTGTTAGATATTACGTTGTAGTCTTACAGGTCCCTGTGGCTTTAGTCTGTTTGCTGTCTGTTGTTCAGATTGGGTAATTTCTACTCTTCTGTATTACAATTCATGGATTCTTTCCTCTGTCTTCTTTATTCTGCTGTTGAACCCATCCACTGAGTATTTTTTAACTCTAAAATATCTACTTCATATATCTTCTCTTTCTTTGCTGAGACTTTCTATTTTTGCTTCATGTTTCTTACTGTTTGTTTAAACATTTATATGATGGCTTATTTAAAGATTTTATCAGATATTTTTAACCTCTGTGCCATCTCAGTGTTGGCATCTATTGATTGTCTTTGCTTAAGTCGAAGTTGTCTTAGATCTTGGTATGACAAGTGATTTTAGATTGAACCTATTTGGAAATTATAAGATCTGTGTCTTATTTAATTAAATCTTCTCATGTAGCAGGCATTCTCTGACACCACTGTGGCAGAGGAGGTGGGGGGTGCTGCCTTATTATTGAAAGGTGGGCTGAAAGTCCAGGTCTCCTGCTCAGCCTCTGTCGGCACCTGGAGGAGGGGTTGTCATTACTGCTGAATGGTAGTGGCAGTTCAGGATCCCCATCTTGCCTTCACTGATAATACCCTGCATGGGAGGATCTGGAGTACCTCATTACTCCTCCCCATGGGGCTTCGAGTGACACTGGGGGGCAGGGGACCTTGTCACTGCCTGACTTGGAGACATGTCTCAGCCCCCAGTCAGCCCTCTCTGACATGTCCCTGGTGGAGCGGTAAGGGAGCCTTCCTCCAGCCTGGTGAGCACAGACATTTGAGTTCCCCACGTGGCCTTTCATGGCAGCAGTAGAGGTGGAGAATGTATTTTTTATTTTGTGTTTGGCTGAAATAAGAACAATCGTTGTCTAAAAGTTTTCAGTCTTGCTAGGCTGCCTCTTTCCTGAACCTCTGATTTGAGAGTACAAGTTTTGGGTTTTATGTTTTGTTTTGTTTTGTTTTGTTTTTTCTGTCTCCACATTCATGTTGCTTGTGGCCAGCTTCTCCAGCTTCTAATTGGGAATATATCGTTGTCATTCCTTAAGTCCTGAGGTCCCTGAACAATCTGCTGTCTTCTCTCCACCTTTCAGCATCTTATGTTTTTAAATATATAATATCCATAGTTTTTAGCTATACTTACCAGAAAAGATAGGAGGAAATACCTCTACTCCATATTTCTAATAGAACATGGCTTTTTTATTTTAAATTTTTGGCTCTTTGAAAATTTTTTTTTACTATTGCTCTTTTCTCACTTAATTCATATTTGGAGAGCAAGATTTTTTAAAATCCTTTTAAAGTTTATTTAAACTCATTTCAGGGCCCATGATATGATTTATCCTGGTTAAATGTTTCATACGTATTTGAAAATATGTGTTTTCCTTTTGGATCAGTGTTCTATAAATGGAGGTCATGTTGGTTGATAATATTCTTCAAGTCTTCTGTACTCCTTCTTATTTATTTGTAATCTTCTTCTATAAATTATTGAGAAAGGAGTTTTACTGTGCAGCTACAATTGTGGATTTGGTTATTCTTCCAGTTTCATCAGGATTTGCTTTATGTATTTTGAAGTAGTGTTATAAGATGGAAAAACATTTGTGATTGCTATATCCTCTTGATTAATTATTCCCTTTATCATTATGCAGAATTTCTCTTTATGTATGCTGTTTATATATTATGAAACCCATAATAAATAATATTGTCTAAAAAGATAACTTGAAAGATAATATTCTATTTAAAGAAAAGAATTCCAAGAATGAGAAAAGTGTATTTTATTTTCATCTTCTTTTTTCCAGTTTATGGTGCTCTTTATCTCTATAAATTTTTTTATATAAATCAAAAATTTTCATAGTACCATTTTTCTTCTGTTGGGAAAATTTAACATTTCTTGTAATACACATCAGTTGCTGATAAATTGTTTCAGTTTTTTTTTTTTTTTTTTGGCTGAAACATCTTTGCTAAGTATAGAATTTTAGGTTGATTTTTTTTCTTTCAGTACTTTAAGAGTGTCACTTCATTGTCTTCCAGACTGTAAAATTTCTAACAAGAAGTCAGCTTTAATTTTCTTTGTTCTTCTGCACATATTATGTCTTTTTCTGTCTGCATAAAATTTACTTTTTTTCAGCAGGTTTTAGCAATTTGATTATAATGTATATGGGTGTGATTTTATGTTTCCTCTTGGCATTTATTTAGCTTCTTGGATCTGCAGGTTTATATAGGTCATTACAATTGGCAAATTTTGGCCACTGTTGCTTCAAAATTTTCTCTCCCTTTCCTTTTTTTCTTCTGAAATGCTGATTACATATATGTTAGACTACAAATTTATTTAACCACAGATCACAGATAACTCTGTTTATTATTTTCCAGTCTCTCTATGTGTTGCCCAGGCTGGTCTTGAACTCCCAGCTTCAGGCAATCCTCCTGCCCCGCCTTCCCAAATAACTGGGATTACAGATGTCACTGTGCCTGGCTATATGGGCCATTTCTTGTTTGGTTGTTACTGATTGATTTTTCTCCTTGATGAGAGTCTTGTATACCTAGTAATTTTTTATTGGGTGCTAGATATTGTGAATTTTACATTGTGAGTTGCTAGATTTTGTTGTATTCTTTTACGTATTTCTGAGCCTTTTCTGGGATGTAGTTAAGTTACTTGGAATAAGTTCGATCATTTCAAGATACACTTTAAGCTTTGTTGTGTTGGAGCTCACTTTAGTCTAGAATTAATTTGGTCCCTCTTCTAAAGCAGTACCCTTCTGGTTATTCTACCCTGTTGGTCATTAATTAGGAGGTTTTTGTACCCTGGTTGGTGATGATCATTGTCTATCATCAACAAAATCTAGCAACTCACAATGTAAAATTCACAATATCTAATACCCAATAAAAAAATTACTAGGTATGAATGATCATTCCTACCTTTGGGTACACTGTAGCGATTTTTCAGCCTATTCTTTTTCACTGGTCTTTTCCTAACCTTGAGTGATTTTCTTATATGCTTATACAAGTCAGTACTCAGGAGACCCTTCTGCAGATCTCCAACATTTTATATCAGTATAGCTCTTTCTTCACTGGCATTTACTCCCACAAATTCTAGTTGCCAGGGATTCCTTAAACATCCAATTTTGTCACATCAGCTTACCGAGTCTGCCAGCCTCTGTTTTGGTGTTCTCTTTTTCTGCTCTGGGTTGGCAACTCTCTCACAAGTAGCCTGTGATAATCACAGGGCTCACCTCATTGTTTCTCTACTTTCAAGGATCCCTGTCTGCGCTGCCTCTTGGCTAAAACCTAATTACCATTTTTTATATTTTGTTTGGTTTTTTAGTTGTCTGTTATGGAGCAGTAAGTCAGTTCCTTTTACCCTGTTACAACGAGATATGGAAGTCCTCATGAAATCTCTTCCTTGACACCCAAGACATTGGCCATTTTAGAATTTTATGTTATTTAGGTGTGCAGTTTAGGGGTTCAAGGAGATTGACCATTTATGAGAATAAGAGAATGTTTTCTGGCCAGGTGCAGTGGCTCACGCCACTGTACTTTGGGAGGCCAGGGTGAGACAATTGCTTGAGGCCAGGAGTTCGAGACTAGCCTAGGTAACATAGTAAGACTCCGTCTTTACAAAAAAACTTGAAAAAATTAGCCAAGTATGGTGGTGCACACCTATAGTCCCAGCTACTCAGGAGGCTGAGGCAGGAGGATTATTTGAACCCAGGAGTTTGAGGCTGCAGTGAGTCATGGTCACACCACTGCACTTCAGCCTGAGTGACAAAGGGAACCTGTCTCTAAAAAAAAAGTAAGAAAAGAAAGAAAATGGTTTTTTTGGTTACTTCCTCAAAGAAGGTCCAGTGAGCACCCTAAATATGCCCCTTCTGAAACTGTACCTTTTTCACATTCAGAAACAGTAGAACCTATGCAACTAATGCAAATGCTAAATTATTTCCCATTTATAGGGTACTGCTTTACAAAACCAGAACTGATCTTCACATTGGAACAAGGAGAAGATCCATGGTTATTAGAGAAAGAGAGAGGATTTCTAAGCAGGAACTCCCCAGGTGAGTTACTGAATTCAATGAGCAGAAGGTTCACTGATTCACTAGGACTCCTCACACAACTCAGCATATAGTCATAATAATGGTTGAATTGTATACAGTGAAAAGATACAAAGAAAAATCAGCAAAGATAAAAGGTGCATGGGGCAAAGTTCATAGGAAACAAATCGTAAGCTTCTGAGAGTTCATACAGTTCCCTAAGCCCAGTTCCCTAAGCAAGGAATTGCAAAAACCCATGTAAATGTTGTCTACCCAGAATTGGTGCCCAGGATTTTTGTTGCGGGCTAACCATGTAGACACCCTCTGTCTAGCATGTACCAAAAATCCAGACTTTGAGATGGAAAACCGGTGTTCTCTATCATATTGTTTGTACAGGACTGGCACAGTGAGCTCCTCAGCAGTTATGGGAATCTTGTTTCTAGATGCCAGCCAAGGGCAGACCTAATAATAAAGTCTTTTTAAGAGTAGCAGTCTCAGGCCTGCTATATCAACTCTTGTCTATACAAAACCTATGCAAGTCCCTGGCATAACATAGATTAAGACAAACATATTTACCATATCAACGAATGTAAGTGGATTAAATGCACTTATTAAGAGAAAATTCTATTAGATTTTGTTAAAGAGGTATGTTTAAAAAATAATTGGAGAAGTTCAAAATACAGTTATGAATTGCTAAGGCAATAAACTACAATAATTCAGGTTTTATTTGCTTTAAATTCCTACTTCTATCGCATAATCTTGGAATACTTTATCCTATACTTTATCTCTTATTTTTGTAAACTCAATAACACTAAAGTTAAATTCAGGTCAAAACATAGAGAAAAGAAAGGGCATTTTGATAATGCCAAAGTAGACAGTTTTAAAAGGATATGTTAAAAGTAGACAACTTTAAAATATATTTAAGAGTTTTGAATATTTGTGCACTAAATTATCGGGTTTCACAAAACAAAAAAACACAAGTGTTCTGAGGAAATACGGAAACATACAGGTAGCATGGCCTTTAATTTACCTTTTTGATTTCATACCAGAACCAGAGGATCACAACTGAGATCCTAGACTAGTGCTCAGCAAATGAGGACACAGGGGAAATTCTACCTGCTCCCTATTTCGGTCAGGAAAGATTTTTCTAGAACACAGCCATAGCTGTTCATTTATGTGCTAATGCTGCAAGGTAGAAATGAGTAGTTGCAACAGAGACCACATGAGCAGCCCAGTGGAGAACATTTACTCTCTGGCCTTTTCAGAAAAAGTTTACTGACTCCTGCTCTCAAAATTATAAATAACATATTTTATAAAAATGAATCTGATGTGTCTTTCAAAACTCTACTCTGTTAACAAAGAATGAACCCATTTTAAAATGATTATGGGACACTGACGAAATATAAGAGTATTTTGTGCAAACATCAATAAATTCCTCAAAGTAAAGATAGTATTGTCCACTAAAACTATAAATTGCAAACAATGTGAGAAGAATTAAAGTCTCTCTGTCTTAAAATCAATAAGGACTATATATCTTTAAAAACATATTTAATCAAAGAGTAAATGAAAATCAAAATTGTCCAATATCCAGAAAATTTCAAAGGTAAAAAACATGCATATTAGAACCTTTGGGATATAGATAAAGCAGTGCTTAGAAAAAACTTTTAGTCTTATATTAGTCTTATATACTTGTTTTTTAAAGTGAGAAAGTTTTCAAAGAAAACTAAGCAAAGCAAAAGATGTAATAAAAATAAGACTATATTAGTATAAATTTTAAAGCCAAAAGTGGTTCTTGCAATAAAAATAACTGAATAAAATAGACAATCTCAATTAGAAAAAGGGGGAAAGCACTATTACTCACTTAAAGTTTTGATTTAAATTCCTACTTCTGTGGTATAGTTTGAAATCCTTTAGTGTATGCCTTATCTCTTCTTTTTGTAAACTCACAATCTACTTGATAGATGTGTTTAAAAAAGAAAAAATGAAACACTGTGCCAGAGAGCACATAGTTACTGAATGAGCTCCATTCCTACCTGGATTATAATCCACTAAAAAGAATGGTCTCTGCTTTACTCTTCTATATATTGAGTCCATGCAATATAACATGTAAGTATTTTTAATAATATTGTGTATTAACTTCAAAGCCACTTGGTAGAGGTATTTCTTATTGATTCATTCAGAAAACGTTATCCCTAAATGCAAACACCCAAGTCAAATTTCTGAGACTTTTGAATAATCAGGTGTAGGTTAGCACTGGGTCTGAGCACTTGTGTAGGAAAGAGGAGGTAATTTTGAGGCACACTGCTTTTTAAGAGTCACTGTCTTCATTTATATTACAGAGAGGTATAAAGTATATCAGAATGAAGGTTATATTTTGTAAAGGAGAACAAAGCTGCATAAAATAATTAATGCTATTGATTAAAAAGTGAACTATTACTTTACGTACAACTAAGAAAGAGAAAATGCCATTTAACTGTGGACGTGAGGTAAGTTTTAAAATACTCCCTAATTTGAATGATGGTAACTTTCTTAAAAAATCATCAGTGTCAGATATATGAGTACTATCCATATATCCCTTGTTAAAATGAATAATATAGACAGTAACTACTTTCAGATTGTAAATAAATGTTCCTTACATTTGTGGGAAGACACAAGAAACCTTTTGTATGTATGTAATTTGGGAAATGCTTTGCGTTGCCTGAAAGGCATCTAGAATCTACATAGGTCTAAGGCTAAAAAGCAGAGTGATTCAGAGAAAGAATACAAGACTGTTGCTGACAATATACTATTTACTGGTGATATCCTGTTGAGACTAGAACAGAAAAGACTGTGGGCTATTGCAGTGACAGCTAGAACATGTAATGAGCCTGCAGTTAGTGTAAAATCTTCTTTTCCTGAATATCTCTTAGGACACTAAGGCAGTGTATTTAAAGCCTTGGGGCTGACATTTTTGCATGCAATATGGGTAGCAGTAGGGCAGTAGCAGTCAAATATACACAAGAAATTTATGATAAATAAATATAAAGGATACGTGTAAAGTTTTTAAGTCCAGATTAAAATATATGATCCTTAAGGTTCTCACAGTCAATAAAAACTAGTAATGTTAAAAAGTAGATTGAAAACAGAATTAAGGATTGGACAAAGACAAGGCTAGTTTTAGGGAAAAGAGTGAGCAAACTGAAAAGACAAAAGTTAAGATTTGATGATCTAAAAAGATTCACTATTGACCAGGTGCAGTGGCTCATGCCTGTAATCCTAGCACTTAGGGAGGCCGAGACAGGTGGATCACCTGAGATCAAGAGTTTGAGACCAGCCTGGCCAACATGGCAAAACCTTATATCTACTAAAAATACAAAAATTAGCCAGGCATGGTGGCACATGCCTGTAATTCCAGCTACTCAGGAGGCTGAGAGAGGAGAATCACTTGAACCCAGGAGGCAGAAGTTGCAGTGAGCCAAGATCACACCACTATACTCCAACCTGGGCAACAGTGAGACTCCATCTCAAAAAAAAAAAAAAAATTCGCTATTGAACAACCCTGATACAATAAACTAAGTCACCAGAGCTAGGGCAGAGCAGTGAATCCAACCTAGGTGGAAAAATGACTTTAACTCCCATCAATTTTACATTTCCACTTACACATTTGTGTTCCTTTGATGATAATACAGACAGAATTAAAATGTGGCCTACAGTAGTATTTCTTTTAACATGAGGAAATTGGTTCCATTATAAATTTATTTTGTGATATGTAGAAAGGAAATGGAGCTCCAACTGGACTATTGTAGGCTAATGATTATCCTACCATTGTAATTTATGTTTGTATAAGAATCTAGACTAGCATTACTTCCTAAGGCAAACCTTGTCTCAGATAAAACCACTAATCCATTGATTTTTGTTGTTATCTACTTCATTTTGGTAATCTTTTTTTTATTCATCCCATTCTCTGATTTTCCTGTTCCCAGGATCCAGTGCTTTTACATATACACCATTTTCAGTCATTTTGTTGATTTATATCCTCTTCTCTATTCGGTTTTGAAATTTTTATTTTAAGATGCCAAATACAGACGTATATTCATTTCCCATTTCTTTTTCTACTACAAAAAAGTTTAAGCTAAAAAGGGAATATAGGGAATATACTTGAAATTACTTTATTGTTGAGAAACTGAGCCAGAAACTCAGGAATCAAATACATAATAGGGCATATATATACATGTATGTCCCATTCCATAAGAAATGTATTAAATATCATAAAGTTTGTTTAATTTTATCATTTTTAGAAGACTCCCAACCTGATGAAATCTCAGAGAAGAGCCCAGAAAATCAAGGCAAACATTTCTGGCAAGTTTTATTCACCAATAAATTATTGACTACAGAGCAAGAAATTTCAGTAAAACCACATAATCGGGACATAAACATTTTTCCTGCAAGAATGATGCCTTGTAAATGTGACACTGTGGGGTCTGCTTACCGGGGTCTCAGCCCGACGGCCCCATACTGTCAGTATTCAAAAGAAAAGGCGCATGAGCATAATGTATGTGACAAACGGCTCATCAGTATTAAGGATGGCAGAACTAACACTCAAGAGAAATCTTTTGCTTATAGTAAAAGTGTGAAAACCCTCAGTCATAAGGAGGACGTTATTCAATATCAGACAATTCAGACTTTGGGGCGAGATTTTGAATATAATGAAAGTAGAAAAGCTTTTCTTGAAAAGGCTGCCCTTGTTACATCTGAAAGTACCTACCCAAAAGGAAAATCTTACAATTTCAATAAATTTGGGGGAAACAAATACGATAAATCAACCTTTATTATTCCTCAGAACATTCATCCAGAGAAGAGTCACTATGAATTTAATGATACTGGAAATTGTTTCTGTAGGATCACTCACAAAACTCCAACAGGAGGGAAATCTTTCAGCCAAAAGTCACATATTAGAGAATGTCATAGAGTTCATATAGAGATGAAACCCTTTGAATATGGTAAAAGTTTCAACCATAATTCAACCCTCCCAGTGCATCAGAGAACTCATGCAACAGATAAATACTCTGATTATAACCCATGTACAGAGACGTTCAGCTACCAGTCAACTTTCAGTGTACCTCCGAAAGTTCACATAAGGGAAAAACCCTGTGAGTATAATGAATGTGGAAAATCCTGCTCTATTAATTCACGCTTGATTTGGCCTCAGAAAAGTCACACAGGGGAGAAACCCTATGAATGTCATGAATGCGGGAAAGGCTTCAGTGAGAAGTCACGCCTAAGAAAACATCAGAGAACTCACACAGGAGAGAAACCATATCAATGTGATGGATGTGAGAAAGCTTTCAGTGCAAAGTCAGGCCTAAGAATACACCAGAGAACCCACACAGGGGAGAAACCATTCGAATGTCATGAATGTGGGAAATCTTTTAACTATAAATCAATCCTCATAGTGCATCAGAGAACTCACACAGGGGAGAAACCTTTTGAATGTAATGAATGTGGGAAATCTTTCAGCCATATGTCAGGCCTAAGGAATCATCGAAGAACTCACACAGGGGAAAGACCATACAAGTGTGATGAATGTGGGAAAGCTTTCAAACTGAAGTCAGGCCTGAGGAAGCATCATAGAACACACACAGGGGAGAAGCCCTACAAATGTAATCAGTGTGGAAAAGCTTTCGGTCAGAAATCACAACTCAGAGGACATCACAGAATTCACACAGGGGAAAAACCCTATACATGTAATCATTGTGGGGAAGCTTTCAGTCAGAAATCAAACCTCAGAGTACATCACAGAACTCATACTGGGGAGAAACCCTATAAATGTGAGGAGTGTGGAAAAACTTTCAGGCAGAAATCAAATCTCAGAGGGCATCAGAGAACTCACACTGGGGAGAAGCCCTATGAATGTAATGAATGTGGAAAAGCTTTCAGTGAGAAGTCGGTCCTAAGGAAACATCAGCGAACTCATACTGGGGAGAAACCATATAATTGTAATCAGTGTGGGGAAGCTTTCAGTCAGAAATCCAATCTCAGAGTACATCAGAGAACTCACACAGGGGAGAAACCCTATAAATGTGATAAATGTGGAAAAACTTTCAGTCAAAAATCAAGCCTTAGAGAACATCAGAAAGCCCACCCAGGGGATTAAACATATGCATATAAAGAATATGAAAATACTCTGAGCTGGAAATCAAACCCCACAATACATAAATTAACACACAGGAGAGAACTGTTAACATAGCACTGGAATTTCCTCTACAGTTTCAGCCCCCACCCAATGTCAAAGAATAGAAGATGAATTGTTGAAATGTATTTTATATGGGCATTCTTTCAGCCAGAGCACAGTCTTCCATGGATATTACAGAACTCACCCAGCAAAGAAACCCTATAAAGATAATGAATATAGAAAATACTCATGTGAACTCACTCCTCAGAAAACTCATGCTGCAGAAGAGCTCTGAGAAAGTAATAAAAATGAAAACTTTGTGCCGACAATCAAAACTCTTTCATCATCAATCACACAATGACAAAAGCTAGAATATAGTAAGTGTGTGATAAACTTTAATGAAAAGTCAGTATGGCAGAAAATACATTCAAGATGGAGACCTCATAGTATATTAAACAAGAAATGAAGTTAATGGATGTGGGAAATTCTTCTGCCATGTCAACCCTCATTTTAACTTACACAGAGGTAATCCCTATATGTCACATAATAACTATTGAAATGTTCACTAGTAATCATTTTCACTTCTCTCTCATGCCACACCTGACCTAAATTTCTCAACCGCTCTGTCATATAAATGGGGTCATATTGTTACCCTCTAGCTAGTGGAATATGGAGGTCAATGACAGGTCTTAAATACATCAGCAAAATTCTCAATGTTTTCTTCTATCCTTCATTAGAATGGAATGGAGGAAAACCTTGGGACTCAGGCTCTGATGATAGAAAATACAAGATAGTAGGAACCAAGGTCAGAGAAGGACCCTGTGGCATGGAGTTTTCTCCTCCATGTACACAGTTGGATTTTTTGCAGTGAGGAAATAAATGTGTTCTCTGCTGAACTTCTAAAGGTTTGGGTATACTTGATACTGACAGAAACTCAACAACCCTCATCTAATAAAACTCACGAGTATGATTTTTCAGGACATCTGAAATCAGTGTATGTCAGAAAAGTCACATATGACAAACCTCAGACAGCATCCTGAATGACCATGACTTTTATTCCCAAGTCTTCCTCATCGGACAGGTAATATCATCAGAAATCTGACATTTTAACAAATGTAGGAAATTCTTCACACACACAGACATGCACACACACACACACACCCAGAATCTCATTAAATATTTGATAATTTAATTTTGAATGTGTAAAATTTTCAACAAATTATCATATTTTATATCAGAGCTTGTTACAAGGGGAAAATCTATCAATTTAAGAAAGGTAAGTAATAGCCTTTATCTAGATATTGCTATATCAGAACTGTTGTTTCATATAGAATATCAAAACTTTTAATGAAATGTAACATTGATTAATAGACATTCAGTATAATAAAAAGCTTAAAAAGAACAAGAAATAAATTGCATAAACTGAAAAACAGTGTTGCAAATATGTGAGTGTTTTGTGAGTTATTGATTGTTTATGTATGTATATGTGCATGGTACTTACCAGGTATTTGTTTTATATGTTTCTTAGACCTCAACATTACTATAAGAGAATTGTGTTCCCCTTGCTTTATAACTACTTTGACATCAGCTACAATTTGCCACATGAATATTAATAACAAACCTTTTATGGAAAATATCTGATACCACATTCCCTTTCTCCTGCTGCCTTCTAACATGTCTGTCTAGTAAAGGCCATTGTTACTAAACTGCCTCCTTTCAAAGAAGCCAGTGTCAACCAATAAATTTCTCTCTCTTTTCTGTGTGTGTGTCTCACACACAAATACACAAGCAAATATATATATATATATCTTCAACATCACTGATTCTTTCCTAGCAGTGTTGAGTACAATAATGGACACTTGGAAGGCAATCTTTATTTATGGTACTGTGTTTTTCACTTTTAGCATTTTAATTTTGTTATAGTTTTTATCTCTCTGCCACAGTTACCTACCTGATACTTCATGTTGTCTAGTTTTCCCGCTGGAGTCACTTTCTATGGCATTTGGCATTCTTTCTCTCAGTTAAACAACTGCTTGGATCTTTGTTTTTCTCTACAACCACCTAGTTTTCCAGATAGCTTTTTTGCTCTGTGGCCTCAGACATCTGGTGCATTGAAGAAAAGTTAAAGCCTTCCCAACTGTTTTCTTGTTTCATGGATAGAGAGCAGTGCTCTTGCCTGCTCTCTCTTTCTCTGAGTTGTAACTGAATGTCATCAGTTGTTTTTTGACAAATGTTTCAGGGTAATTTGATGGAAAAATGATAATTGCTTTCAAAAATGATGCTAAGATAATTGTATTACTCCATTCTCACGCTAGTAAGAAGAAAACCCCAAGACTGGGTAATTTGTAAAGGAAAGAGGTTTAATTGACACACAGTTCTGCATTGCTGGGGAGGCCTCAGGAAACATAAGATCATGGCAGAAGGCAAAGAAGCAGGCACCTTTTTTACAGGGCAGCATAGTGAGTGCAGCAGGGCAAATGCCAGATGCTATAAAACCAACAGATCTCATGAGAGTCAGTCACTATCGCAAGAACAGCATGGGGAACACTGCCCCCCATGATCCACTTACCTCCAGCTGGTCCCACCCATAACGTGTGGGGATTATGGGGATTACAATTCAAGATGAGGTTTTGGGTGGAGACACAGGCAAACTGTATCAATAATGATACTTATATATTGTAAATGCAACTTGATCTTTACACCATAATTTAAAACTTACTCAAATCACAGAACCAAACAAAATCACTAAAAGTACAAAATTTATGATAGAAAACAAAAGAAGCTGACTGGATATGGTGGCTCACCTGTGTAATCCCAGCACTTTGGGAGGCCAAGGCAGGAGGATTTCTTGAAGCTAGGAGTTCAAGACCACCATGCACAACATGAGACCCTATCTCTACAAAAAATGAAATTAACCAAGCATAGTGGCATGTGCCTGTAGTCCTAGTCCTAACTACTTGGGAGGCTGAGGTGGGAGGATTGCTTGTGCCCAGGAGTTTGAGGCTGTGGTGGGTTGTGATCATGCCACTGTACTCCAGCCTGGGTAACCGAGCAAGACTCTGTCTCTTAAAAGAAAAAAAAAATGTTTATAATACAGAAAATGCAGTTATAATGGACCAAAAAAAAAGGAAAGCATTAAAATAGATATTTCACTGAAGATACATAGTTGGCCAATAAATACTAGAAACAGTGTCCAAAGCTTTGGTCAGCAAGAAAGTGCGTGTTCATGTGATAGCAATACAAATCCATATTGTAGTTCCTTATAAAGATAACAGTACCTTACCTACAACCAGCAATTTTCATTCTAGGCATTTACCCCAGAGAAACACAAAGAATTATATGCAGATAAGGGTGCACCCAAGATGGCCGAACAGGAACAGCTCCAGCCTCCAGCTCCCAGCATAACACGGAAGATGGGTGATTTCTGCATTTTCAACTGAGGTACCAGGTTTGTCTCACTGGGGCGTGTCAGACAGTTGGTGCTGGTCTGTGGGTGCAGCCCGACCAGGGAGAGCTGAAGCAGGGTGAGGCATCACCTCACCTGGGAAGCACAAGGGGGAAGGAAATTCCTTTTCCTAGGCAAAGGAAATTGAGACACACAACACCTGGAAAATCAGGTAACTCCCACCCTAATACTGTGCTTTACCAAGGGTCTTAGCAAACAGCACACCAGGAGATTATATCCCACACCCATGGAGCCTCCCTCATTGCTAGCACAGCAGTCTGAGATCTAACTGAAAGGTGGCAGTGAGGCTGGGGGAGGGGCACCTGCCATTGCTGAGGCTTAAGTAGGTGACAAAAAGCCACCAGGAAGCTCGAATTGGGTGGAGCCCACCACAGCTCAAGGAGGCCAGCCTGCCTCCATAGTCTCCTCCTCTGGGGACAGGGCATAGCTAAACAAAAAGCAGCAGAAACCTTGGCAGAGGTAAATGCCCCTGTCTGACAGCTTTGAAGAGATCAGTGGATCTCCCAGCGCAGAGGTTGAGATCTGAGAACAGACAGACTGCCTGCTCAAGTGGGTCCCTGACCCCTGAGTAGCCTAACTGGGAGACATCCCCCACTAGGTGTAGACTCACACCTCACACCTCACACGGCAGGGTACACCCCTGAAACGAAGCTTCCAGAGCAAGAATCAGCAACACACGATGTTCAGCAATATTCTATCTTCTGCAGCCTCTGCTGCTGATACCCAGGCAAATAGGGTCTGGAGTGAACCTCAAGCAAACTCCAACAGACCTACAGCTGAGGGTCCTGACTGTTAGAAGGAAAACTAACAAACAGAAAGGACACCCACACCAAAACCCCATCAGTATGTCACCATCAACAAAGACCAAAGGAAAAACCACAAAGATGGGGAAAAAGCAGTGCAGAAAAGCTGAAAATTCAAAAAATCAGAGCGCATCTCCCCCTCCAAAGGAACGCAGCTCATCACCAGCACGGAACAAAGCTGGACGAAGAAAGACTTTGACGAATTGAGAGAAGAAAGCTTCAGTTGATCAAACTTCTCAGAGCTAAAGGAGGAACTACGTAACCAGCACAAAGAAACTAAAAACCTTGAAAAAAGAATGGATGCATGGATAACTAGAATAATCAATGCAGAGATCTTAAAAGAACTGATAGAGGTGAAAACCATAACACGAGAACTACGTGGCAAATGCACAAGCTTCAGTAACCGACTCAATCAACTGGAAGAAAGAGTATCAGTGATTGAAGATCAAATGAATGAAATGAAGCCAGAAGAGAAGTGTAGAGAAAAAAGTAAAAAGAAATGAAAAAAGCCTCCAAGAAATATGGGATTATGTGAAAAGACCAAATCTACGTCTGATTGGTGTGCCTGAAAGTGACAGGGAAAATGGAACCAAGTTGGAAAACACTCTGCAGGATATCATCCAGGAGAACTTCCCCAACCTAGTAAGGCAGGCCAACATTCAAATTCAGGAAATATGGAGAATGCCACAAAGATACTCCTCGAGAAGAGCAACTCCAAGACACATAATTGTCAGATTCACCAAAGTTGAAATGAAGGAAAAAATGTTAAGGGTAGCCAGAGAGAAAGGTCGGGTTACCCACAAAGGGAAGCCCATCAGACTAACAGCAGATCTCTCGGCAGAGACTCTCTAAGCCAGAAGAGAGTGGGAGCCAATATTCAGCATTCTTAAAGAAAAGAATTTTCAACCCAGAATTTCACATCCAGCCAAACTAAGTTTCATAAGTGAAGGAGAAATAAAATCCTTTACAGACAAGCAAATGCTTAGAGATTTTGTCACTACCAGGCCTGCCCTACAAGAGATCCTGAAGGAAGCACTAAACATGGAAAGGAGCAATAGGTACCAGTCATTGCAAAAACATACCAAAATATAAAGTCCATCGATGCTAGGAAGAAACTGCATCAACTAGCGAGCAAAATAACCAGCTAATATCATAATGGCAGGATCAAGTTCACATGTAACAATATGAACCTTAAATGTAAATGGACTAAATGGTCCAATTAAAAGACACAGACTGGCAAATTGGATGAAGAGTCAAGACCCATCAGTTTGCTGTATTCAGGAGACCTATCTCACATGCAGTGACACACATAGGCTCAAAATAAAGGGATGGAGGAAGATCTACCAAGCAAATGGAAAAAAAAAAAAAACAGGGGTTGCAATCCTAGTCTCTGATAAAACAGACTTTAAACCATCAAAGATCAAAAGAGACAAAGAAGACCATTGCATAATGGTAAAGGGATCAATTCATCAGAAAGAGCTAACTATCCTAAATATATGCAATACAGGAGCACCCAGATTCATAAAGCAAGTCCTTAGAGACTTACAAAGAGACTTAGACTCCCATACAATAATAATGGGAGACTTTAACACCCCACTGTTAACATGAGACAGATCAATGAGACAGTTAACAAGGATATCCAGGAATTGAACTCGACTCTGCACCAAGCAGACCTAATAGACATCTACAGAACTGTCCACCCCAAATCAACAGAATATACATTCTTGTCAGCACCACATCGCATTTATTCCAAAATTGACCACATAGTTGGAAGTAAAGCACTCCTCAGCAAATGTGAAAGAACAGAAATTATAACAAACTGTTTCTCAGACCACAGTGCAATCAGACTAGAACTCAAGACTAAGAAACTCAATCAAAACCACTCAACTACATGGAAACTGAGCAACCTGCTCCTGAATGACTACTGGGTACATAACGAAATGAAGGCAGAAATAAAGATGTTCTTTGAAACCAATGAGAACAAAGATACAACATACCAGACTGTCTGGGACACGTTTAAAGCGGTGTGTGGAGGGAAATTTATAGCACTAAATTCCCACAAGAGAAAGCAGGAAAGATCTAAAATTGACACCCTAGCATCACAATTAAAAGAACTAGAGAAGCAAGAGCAAACACATTCAAAAGCTAGCAGAAGGCAAAAAATAACTTCAGAGCAGAACTGAAGGAGATAGAGACACAAAAAATCCTCCAAAAAATCAGTGAATCCAGGAGTTGGTTTTTTGAAAAGATCAACAAAATTGATAGACCGCTACCAAGACTAATAAAGAAGAAAAGAGAGAAATATCAAATAGATGCAATACAAAATGATAAAGGGGATATCACCATTGACCCCACAGAAATACAAACTACCATCAGAGAATACTATAAACACCTCTACACAAATGAACTAGAAAACCTAGAAGAAATGGATAATTTCCTGGACACTTCCACTCTCCCAAGACAAAACCAGGAAGAAGTTGAATCCCTGAATAGACCAATAACAGGCTCTGAAATTGAGGCAATAATTAATAGCCTACCAACCAAAAAAAGTCCAGGACCAGACAGATTCACAGCTGAATTCTACCAGAGGTACAAGGAGGAGCTGGTACCATTCCTTCTGAAACTATTGCAATCAATAGAAAAAGAGGGAATCTTCCCTAACTCATTTTACGAGGCCAACATCATCCTGATACCAAAGCCTGATAGAGATACAACAAAAAAAGAGAATTTTAGACCAATATCCCTGATGAGCATCAATGCAAAAATCCTCAATAAAATACTGGCAAACCGAATCCAGCAGCACATCAAAATCTTATCCACCGTGATCAAGTGGGCTTCATCCCTGGGATTCAAGGCTGGTTCAACATATGCAAATCAATCAATGTAATCTAGCATATAAACAGAACAAAGACAAAAACCATATGATTATCTCATAGATGCAGAAAAGGCCTTTGACAAAATTCAACAGCCCTTCATGCTAAAAACTCTCAATAAATTCAGTATTGATGGAACATATGTCAAAATAATAAGAGCTATTTATGACAAACCCACAGCCAATATCATATTGAATGGGCAAAAACTAGAAGCATTCCCTTTGAAAACTGGCACAAGACAGGGACGCCCTCTCTTACCACTCCTATTCAACGTAGTGTTGGAAGTTCTGTCTAGGACAATCAGGCAAGAGAAAGAAATCAAGGGTATTCAGTTAGGAAAAGAAGTCAAATTGTCCCTGTTTGCAGATGACATGATTGTATATTTAGAAAACCCCATTGTCTCAGCCCAAAATCTCCTTAAGCTGATAAACAACTTCAGCAAAGTCTCAGGATACAAAATCAATGTGCAAAAATCACAAGCATTCTTACACACTAGTAACAGACAAAAAGAGAGCCAAATCATGAATGAACTCCCATTCACAATAGCTTCAAAGAGAATAAAATACCTAGGAATCCAACTTACAAGGGATGTAAAGGACCTCTTCGAGGAGAACTACAAACCACTGCTCAGTGAAATAAAAGAGGACACAAACAAATGGAAGAACATTCCATGCTCATGGATAG